TCTTTCCAATATGCTTCATTTCATGAAAATCGAGCCACTATTAACTGTGGTATGAATTTTTAAGGTAAAACACAGACAATTAATTTATTCAAAAACTACTTAATATCCCAGATGCGAGTAGAAATAATCTTGATTTACGTCATTAAAATTCACAATTCAGTCAAACTGATGTCATATTTGGAATCTACATGCAAAATTACATTTAGAAATGTGGTTTTAAAAAGAGTTTATCAACTTTGAAAATTTAGTTTTCTTTGAAAATGTGACTTCTAGGTCGGGGAGATTCCCCATAGAGCCCATGTTGTAAAACCACAAAAAGTGATATATCTCTTCTTGTGTTGGGCAGATAATGTTTTCTTTTACTGGACATATTTTAATTTGTATCACTATCAGATACATAAAGGTAATATGAAAAGCGAACCATTAAAACTGATGCATATTCAAGTTTAAGGGAATTTTGTAATACCCTGCCATGTTAATTCCCCCGAATCAGCCACCTGGTGGCGAAACTGGTAACTACCTACTTGCATCTGAGTAATTGATGAATACCTTCGAATTTTTTTGCATATTTTTAAATGTTCATGCACACTGTGGTACTAGAATTATGATGATACCTTCTTCCAAATTTGAGATATAATTTATTTATTCTCCCCTACCCCCAATTTTTTAATTTCACTATTTCGATGTGTGTGCCTTTGCTAGGTGGTTGCTGGGCAACATCATGGACCGAAATTATATTGGAACAACACTGAGTGACACATCCATGCGTCTGCATACTAAATCACTTATCTGCATTTGTTGTACATCTTGAAATATGATAATTAAACACAAAACAACTACTAAATTCCACTTGTTATATCACAGGAGGTAAAAATGCACACTGCCTAGATTTTTTGTAAGGGTTGTCAGACATCGGATACGCCGCCATATTTTAAATGAAAATATCACTAAATAGAGCTTTGCCGCATGTCATAACAGATCGACTGAGTTGTATCTCCCAATAGATAAGATTAAGTATCATTGTTAAGAGAGTTAGAGCTCTATGCTAACTTGACTAGTCTACGATATCCGACAATGTAATATGCAAGTTGCATATCAACGAGATGACGAACATTTGGTTGGTGTAAAATATATTATTTTCAATATACAAATGAAACACAATATTTGCCGTGGGGTACGGATTGACGCTGATGTAATACATACAAACAGCCAGGCATGTCACTCCCTTTGGTACAATGGGGTTTTCTTCAGGAATGAGTCAATACTTTTACTTTTAATGCAACGTGGAAGCCAAGATGGGCTTAACATCTTTGTAATATACGCATTACATTGTGCAGGGAGATCGAATATGCAAATACGATTTCGTGGTTTAGCCAAAAATACTCATTTATGTCCCCATAGATTTCATTGTATCCTTTGATTCATCTGAAATAAGGTTTCCAATAGCTACTAACACTGTTATGTAAGACACAACTATCTGACTATAGATTGCATTGCCAACATGTTAATTCAGATAGATATATACAAGATAGGACTAGACGAGCAATTCCTAATTTCCCAGACCCAATATTTTATTTGATCTGCGTTCATTTGTAATCAAGAATGTCATATGGTTTCATATACATGGTGTATTGTCGACTATATGTAGGATATTTAGGTACAGTAAACCAAGGCAGAAACAGCTTCTATTAAACATAATTTCAAGGAGTATAATTGGTCAATATGGCGATATCCTCTATTTGTTAATGTTCCCAATATATATCCAATTTTTAATGTTTTTGATATAGTGTAATGCATTAAGTACATTACGTATGGGATAACACGTAATAAATATTTCTAAAATTAATTCCACAAGTGGAACTAATATTAATTTTCTCTTCACAAGAAAGTAGATTCACTTTGCAATAGAAAGTAGATTTTGGAACTTACAATCATGAAATCTATTTCGAGAATTTTTGTGTTCATGAATATAATGTACTCGTTGCGTTTAATATCACCCATCGACAGATCCTATCTGAGATACTAACAAGTTTAGTATTTATTTGAAAAACCCATGAGAGTTAATTAGGCACCGACGAAAATGAAATTTTGATTAATGTGCTAAGGAAACACTTTGGTGTTACCAAAAGCATACTAAATCACTTTAAGTCCTTGCCCTACATTGTAATAGTGTATGTATTAGTTTGTATTGCCTTAATGGTCTCGGGGTGGTTAACAGGAAATGACAAAACAGGAAGTAAAAAAATATTTTTGGAACGAAGGCAAAATATCCCTAATTCACATTACCATAGTCAATGGGCAAAAGGCCAAACGTACCATTTTTTTTATTTCAAGTTATTAACTTCTGTGGCCTCACTGGCCTATATGAGGTTCAAAACCAATATCTAATCAACATTTTGACACTAAACTCAATTGGGGCCAGGCATCTACTTTTCGAAATAACTGGTTAATTGTGACACCTCTCTCTGCCGCAAAAAATGAAACTCACAAAAAGTAAAATTGATACGCCATTTGACTCGAAATTTTCAAAAGGTGACGTATTTATTAACTGAGTTCCGTTTTGACCTTCAGTCAGTTTTACTAGTTCCAAATATCTTTTTCTTGACCAGGATCACAATGGGCATTATCGGAATGACCCTAAACATAATGAAATAGCTTTTCAATCCTCGGAAAATGGGACTGAAAAATAGTTCAAAGATGTGCTTTCGGAAAGGTCACTGAACAGATTTTGAGCTTTTCAGAAAATGTGCCCACTATATTGCCTTAAATGATGTGAGATAGTGAGGTGGCTCAAATTCCGATATGGGTAGCCATTTCTGATCGGAAAGTAAATTATTTTTTCTTGTTTAGATACTTAAGCATACGAATTCAACATACGCTCTTGCTCTTGTAGATATGGACAAACTAGAGATGATCGAGATACTTATTTTAATTAGCCCAATGTTTTACAGTTGTCACTTGAAGTCTTTTGTAAAAAATTAAGTGAACAGCAGCTCAAGGAAAATACTGAGACAAATAAGTTTGACACTTGATGTGATAAAAACGGATGCAAATTTCAATAGTCGAGCTTAACAATGTTAACTATTGACTTCTAGCTCAGATAATGTTTAAGGTTAATTGACTTATATTGTAGACCAGTTGCATATCTTCTCTATTCTGTTTAAAACAAATTCACGTGGGTTCCAAGTAAACATCATTCAATAACAAAGATTCGGTATGCAGTGTTTAAAAAACTATGCAATGCTACATATTTGTTATCTGCAAAATAGATTATTAAGCTTGTCCCGATCCAGATAGGTCTCGATGAACTAGTTTTTGGGTCACACCCATTTTCGTCAGACGATCACACACCAAATAGTCAGACGGCTCAGACGCCCACCAGTTTTCCTACTCCGGAGCGTTTCTTTGTTTAGTTTCAGTAAACGCTCCGTCGTGCATGTAAGAGCGTTTGGGTTGGACACCGTGATGTAGTCGGAATATGCATTAAACTGTAGGTTGGCGTGATTTGTTAATGTTTCATTTCCGTTCATGTTCCAGTCTGTTCCAACCCAATTATCTTCATCAAATGCAAAACATCTAATTTAAAGATCAATATTTCTTTGAACGCACGCACTAAAAGCTTTCATTTCCAGTAACAAGTTAAGGTTTTGTCTTAGGTGGAGGAGATCTAATGTACTTAATGTTCGAGTTGGATCGAGTTGGATAATCAATTTATCTAGCTAAAATAAAGTGTGCGACTACATAAATGTAAGTAGATGTTCACTGTAATAGAATTCATTTGAGATACGTATACCATTTCTTGGATGTAAAAAAGTTTCTTTCTCCACCCATACCCACTGGCGGATCCAGAAGCTAACAGGGGGAGGGGGCAAAGTTTGAGTCAGGTAAAAGTGCGGAATTTTGTTTGTGAAAGGTCTAAAAAAGACAAAAAAGAATATGGCCAAATTATGGCCAAAAAGGCCCATGTTTTGAGGCCCTACAAAATGTTATGTACATCCCAAAAAGTCCATTTACATCCTCTTACTTAGATTTCTTTCCAGAGGCGTTCAAGTAAGTTCCACCGTCAGGAACATTGATATTAATGGGAGTAATTTGCAATGGGCAGTTCGATTTAAAAGACCAAACAAGATTAATCACTGATCAGAATTGATATTTTGCGTTTACTCTTACTCTGAAAAACAGGCTCTAGTATGTTATTTTGAGTGCCTTATTTCCAAATATCAAACTATCACATAATATCATTGTCTTCTTACTTACACTAGAGCTTCAATATCAAATTAGATGATGCGTCGAAACACATTTTATTTCGTGGAGCGATTACACTACCCCCGTGTTAAATTAATCCTTCCACGCATTCAGTTACTAAACTGGTAAATTAGAATATATAACGAAAGTACATTAAACAGTCTAAAGTTCAGAGGTCTTAGAGTCCATTTCACTGCTTCAGTTCGTCAGTAGAACGGCAAAAATAAGAAATTGGGAGACCATTGTGCAATAATATATGGAAAAGTATATTCATAATGTACATGAATGACATTTGTATATCTTGGATTGCTTCTAGTTTGGCTTATAAAGTGTGTGGCCTCATATATTTGGATGTTTCTCTGCCATGTTATTTTCAATAAGATTAACATGGCTGAAATTCTTCAAATTACAAGACGGCACAGGCTTATTGCACAAAAAACTAAAAAATCTGAAATATACAAATGTCATTCATGTACATTATAAATATACTTTTCCATATATTATTGCACAATGGTCTCCCAATTTCTTATTTTTGCCGTTCTACTGACGAACTGAAGCAGTGAAATGGACTCTAGTTTGATAACTGTTTCAATCGTTTATTTAATGATGAAAATATGATTGGATGACGATAATAAATAGCTAGGTATTTTTCTACATGCGTTTATACTGTGCTACCTCTGTCTTGAAACTTTATAGAATATGGTATAACTACAAATGCGATAATTGTGATATAAAGAAACAGAGACCATAATTACCTAGTTTTGCATCAAGTAGCTGCAATGTTCATAAGCATCCATTTCACCATTCATGTTTGATTACTGGTACTGTATATAATACTTCATTACAATTGAACATGTCTGTTCTGCCAAGCTGCTTTCAGCTACTAAACCTTGTCAGTCCTTGATTACTGCATCACATGGCGGCTAAAATTGCTAAATAACAAGCCCTCCAATTTCAGATGATATATACTTTCTTGACGCTCAATCGGTTATTAAGATGTGCACAATACCACTTTAGTTTAACTCCTGGGACCTCAGTAAGCTTCTTTTAGTGTTTCGTAATATGTAGTTTGTGTGGCGCACCTTTGGCTGATACTACTTCAATCTAAATTCCCAAGAGCAATACTGTCTTGTGCCACTCTTCCATTCGTTTAACATCTGTAATAATTTCATCCTTTGGATTAGTGGTAGACATCGCATGATAGCTTATTCGTGCCACGATCGTTGTTTTACGTGGGTTCAAGACTAAATTGGACATCGCCTCGATGCCGTTTACATCAAGGGCATGATGTTATATTTAGGGAAATGAACAAAATAGGATGAATACTTGTCTCCTGGCAATAAAGACATTTACTGAGAGTGCTTTGAGAATACAAACACATTAGATGTCATTATATATTTATGTAGAGCCGGAGACGTTTGCTTTTAAATGTGATAATTCATAAATTGAGTTATAGAGAACATTACGATGACTGATATTTATTCAGAGAGAGTTTTATTTTCACACGTCGTAAAATCGTAAAATCAACGTTGTTACCAATCCTCGGGACCATGCCAGGGAACGAGGAATATAGAGAAGATAGTTATCTTTAATATGCAAGTGTCGGTCCTTTAAATACGAATGGAATAGTGTCCGGTACTATTTATATTCAAATGGGTTACCCATAAAATAGCAGGTTAATCCGTTAGCCGACAGGCGTTAGTTGCATTCGCGAATACAAGGCAATACTTAAAGCTATCATCAAAAGGGGTGGTTGACCAATTGAACTCCGTCTTCCAGATCAAATACAATCAAAGTTATAGGACTTGTCCTATCATTTTATTGAAAAAGTTGGAGTCTTGAGTCTTGCGTTTTTGGCCCACCGTGTATATGCCAGTGGTAATCTTAATGATAAATCATGACCTCTTATTAGCTTCGATCTCGTTGAAGGCATGAAGATTTGATGATTATCAGAATAATGGTAATTGCCGGTCTCAATTATTGTCAAAATTATCGCGCATTAGTCAGTCCGACATGAATGTGGCTAAAGTCCCGAGTAACAAGTAGTTTATGTCGGGACTAGTTTGGGAATATAATATGTCACGAACATGGAACTGATCAAGTCACACACGACTCTCGACTATGAGATTGTTAAGGTCACTCTTGTGGAAGTGGATGCAATATGATCGTCAAAGTAGAAACAACTTTAAAAAGTTTTAGTTAAAATATAGCCCTTTATTTTCAAAGAATATAATCATCAATGCATATAAATTACATGGTTTTCATAATAATTGCATAAGCACAAAATTATCTTTGGTTGTCTATTTCTCTCAAGGTGTACTTGTACGTGCACGTACGTGTAATTTGTTTTGCTCCATGAATTGGCGTGTAACCATGGCAATGTTTGATTGTTGATACTTTTAGATTCTGGAATCATATTCAATGAAGAGGCATCAAAATATAGTATTTTAAAGAACATGTCAAACACAGTTTATAGATGACTTAAATACAGTTTCCCGTAGGATTCAACCCGTGCTTGAAAATTCTGAAAAATACATGTAAAATTTAAATATCGCTAAAATATTTTTGTATATGAATACTATTTTAGTTAAAATGTTTAACGTAGCTAAAATCGTGGTGTAAATATTAATATATCCATCTGTTAACAGCGTAATATGAATACATCTCATTCGAATATTATTGTTCAAAATCTATGCATTATATTCAACTTCTCCAATGGCCACAGATTTTGTACAGTATTACTCCTTTGGTTCAAACTTTCAACGTAATAAATAGAATTTCAATATATAACAATTATAAACATTCACACTCAACATGAAAAGTCAACAGCGTGACACAGGTTAGAATCTACATGCGCATGCACTTTTGAGTCCAATCAAAATATCTGGTTCACGAAGAGACAATTTGACTGGCCATTCGTCGCTGAAAACACTCGACCGGCGAGCAAAGCCCGTATGTCCGGCATAACGCTGCCCGGTGATAGGTTCAATCTCTAGATCAAGTATTGTCGCAGGATCTCCACTGCGTAAGATAAATCAACCATTTAGAGGTTCAATCTATCATCTTTTCAAATGTCATACATTCAGATTAGAATATAGTCATTGTCATTGAATGATTTGGTTGAATGGCCACGCAAGTTGCCGCATATTCTCTGGCCCTCTATTGCCGATTAGCGAAACTCTCGACGACCTCAGACTTCGTAATAATTGGACTTTTGCTGATTGATTTGTACACAGCCCTGCTGGCATATTTGTTCATAGCACCCTGAAAAATAAAGGTTGACATAACTTTACACAAAATGAAATCTATTCCATTTAGTAGAGTTTTGATAACTTTCGTTCAGTGTTTGATTAAATCACCTCATTGTAATTCCAATTGTGAGTTGGTATTCGAAAAATCAGCTTGCAACAGCTAGAATATATAGATCTCATTCCATACCCAATTAATATATTCTCATGCAATCTTACTGTACATGTCATTTTAGCAAAACTTTTGATTGTCTCTTAGTGGTTCTTTGGCTTTCAGTTACTATGATAACAATTCTTCATTTAAACTTCATATTATACTAAATATTTTTTTCGTGGTTAATGAGTAATGTGTATTGGCACATTCTGTAACAATCGTTTGAATCTACGAAAGGAAAAATATTTTGAAAAAGAAAGAGCTATTATGACAACATCAAGATCATGTTGATCTTTATTCATTGCGAACTAAAATTTTACAACCTTTGGTAGTCAAAACTTTTCAAAAGAGTCTGTCACATTGCTTCGAGGGTGAAACCTTCAATTAGTTACAGTCTAAACAATTTATATGAATATTACTTACCATAAAGCGTGTTTTGGAGACATTCTGCAGGGTCTTTGCAAAGATATGGACAATATCCTCCAACTGTGATTCTAGGTAGGTACTATAGTAGACAAGTGTAGTGGTCCATGGCTCAACTTCAGGCTCAAGTACCTATATCGAAATAAAGTGTATTTTTAAATCGATGACGTGGTTGACTAGTTTCACGAGGATAATCTGGTGCAATATTGTAGCCATTAGCCATCGAAAGTTTATCATAAAATTCGGGTAGGTTATTTGGCTATCCAAACATGACCCGGTGTAAAAGGGTATAGGAGGTCCTATCAAATTATGGTCTTACTCTTCATTGATTTTTATGGTGACATCTTTCCCTTATTGCCTTATACACAATCAGGGCCAGTAAGGGCGGTTAAGAAAGGAGACCATAATTCCCGGGGGACCATAATTTCTTTCACCCCGGTATATAAACTGGGTGTGTGTAATTCTTGCGCAATCGGAGGGCATGAGTATTTATTACAATTTGTACCTTTCAGCATCCCAAAACAATGGTGTTACGAACCAGGACACAGTGGCTAAGGTCTTCAGTAAGAAAATGCCATTATGTATTTATGCAGCACTCAAGCAAGTAAGGGTACATTCTGCTATGGGCCTATGGCGTGCGTCTTACCTTCAGTGCCATATAGACACTTGCAGCTGCCTTCATTGAGGGAGTGTATTCCATCATGTTGATATCGTGGAGAGTAATGTCGATCAGATATAAACAAAGATTCTTCAACTGCAACGAAATATTAATATGGTCAACATGAAGAGTTTTGAAGGTCCTTTAAAATACACTTGCTTTTAACTTTAGGATATTACTACACTGTCTTCATATCTCCAAACATTGGTTTGTGTGCACACATTGCTCTTATTAAGATACATCCACAGAATCTAATCATTAAACTCAATGCACGGCGATTCAATATCGAATAGTTTCAAATAACAATATGATAACTAAGATATTTACAAAAGTAATATAAATAGTCAATGTGTTCAACCCTTATACAGATTATTTTCGATATCACTATTCCCGAAAAAACATTTTACTCCTAGAAGTATACACATTTCATTTTATTGTGGTCAGCATTTTTTCAATATGATATGCATGCGTCGTTAACACACCAGAAAATGCAAGTTTTGGTAATACACATCATTTGTGTTTATTGCTCATAATACAATGGATTGATTGATCAAACAGATCTTTCTGAAATAGCAGAAACAAAACTTATTTGGGCTTACCGTTCTTCCATGTTTTTGCACTGCATTTGGGACGGCTTGTAGATATCGCTCTACGAACTCCTTTTGTGATGGAAAGTTCAGATCAAAGTCCAGTATCCTGAGGACGATCAGTTCCATTCGGATCACCTGTTTGAAGGTATACGTATCCTCTGTTAAATGGGTCAGGACGGCTATCTAGAATAATGCACATGTTCGGGTTAGATGTAGTAATATTTTATTTATTAGCGCTCTCTCAAGGGCCTGCCATACCAGAGAAGAACATTTTGTCAAAAATTGCGTGTATATTTTTTCAGGGAAATAACAAATGTTAACATGTTAAAAAATATGGTCCTTATTTTTCATTTATATGTTAAGACGTGTGTGTTATAAATACGCTTTTCTCTTTAGAATTACCATAGGATTCGGAAATGAGAAAATTGATCTCAATGTTAAGACACTGACATGACAACATATCAGATCTGGTTGCAAATACAACAGGAGTCTCTTGATGCGGATATAGAATCAGAATATTTACATCTGGTGGGAACCTTTCGTGGAACTTCGCAGCGATGAAAAGACATGTTAATCCCAGAAGCTGCACTTTGGCCAATGTAATGGGCTGCTTCACCAGGAATTCATCCAGCATCATTACCGACATGTAGAGGGTCTCTTGTGTCAAGTTCAAATGTGCCTAGAATAATTGAAACGTGATCATCATTACCTACAACAATATTGAACCGATAACTGGTTCAATAGACTAGATTCAACTAGAAACAATTTTGATTTTCATCGTGTGTTTCGGTAATATAAAAATGACTGGTTTCATGAAATAAATTCGAAATAACATGAAACAATTTTGAATATAGTAGCAATATACAAGTGTAGTAATTATTTGTAGTCGTTTTTAATCAGTCCCTTATACACAATACAAAGTAGAGGCATCGGCTGCAACACAAAGGCATACAGCAACAAGACATGACATTGTCTGCAAAAGTCAAAAAGTTATTTTTATAATTGTAGCCCTAAGGACAGAGGCTATATCCCTTTTCGCTGGTTCGAATACGAAATAAAGGACATTTCAAGTACTTAAGATGAAGTGACACATTATGTGACGCGGTTCTGATTTTGGAGCTTTATATTTACGAACCTGAACTTGAATGAGCCAGTCAATGAGAATTGCACGTATATGTGGGTTGACATCTTTATCAGCCTTCATGAAGTCTTTTCCTTTAACAAGCCTTGCCTCGTTACTCTGAAACAGTAATACAAAAATCATCCAAAAACAAGGACACAAACGTCCTGGATCTCTCGCACGACAAGGAATGATAAATTGGACCATAACGCAATACACGAACTTTCAACACACTGACTGCCTTGCTAAAACAATCGTGCGAGAGATCGTTGACAAAATGTCAATACATCGTTGAAGCTATAAGTCACGCGAGACATTCATACATTTCGTTGCAGTAAAGATGTTGCAGCAATTATTTTGAAAGTCCGCGTTTTTACAACTCATAACTGGATATAATCAATTCCTCTTTAATATTGTAATTATTTTTAAATAATACATTGTTTATCTTGATTAATGCATTTTAAATCGAGTAAAACTATGATAACACCAGACACTTTCCACGTACCATGAGATAATCGATGACATCCTGAGCATACTCTGGGCACCGAAACATGCATGTTTCCTCAGTGTCAATGTCAAGGACACCTACTGGCTTTGACGCAAGGACTTCATCGAGTGCATCTCCCAACTTACTCAAGTTCATATAGTCGGAATTTGTGACCTTTAATTCTGCAACATCATTTTGAAATAAATATAGTCAATAGGGAGGTTATGCTGCACGATTTCAAGAGAACGTTTACGCGAACGTGTAATATAATGAAACGTAGGCATAACCGTGATCTTCTCAATGGTATCTTTTCCATGGAGATTTTATTGCATTATTTTTTTCTTATATTTATTCTCAACCTGGTAGGTAAATACTGCAAAGTGAACATAGAGGACCAACTATATTATCTTGTACTACAGGTACGTACAATTACTTGAGTTCAAAGGTATGTTGAGGTAATGAATAATTATCTCGTTGAAAATCAAAGTCAAAATATTTTGTTTAAATGATCATCTTTCCTAAAAAATTTTAACCTTTCAAACGTGTGAACTAAATTAAGACTAGCCATTTCAAAGGATATGCAAGAATCAAGTTGTACCTTTTGCCACTTTCACTGGTAGCTTAGAGTTCTTAGATTTTGATGTTCCTGTAGCTTTAATAGGTGACGCAGATAGAGATACCGCCTTCTTGGATGTTTTCTTGGAGACTTTTGACAGAATAGGAGCGGTTTTCTTTGCCTCGGTCTTTAGAGGAATCTTCTTTTCAGGAACACTTTTCGCATCTTTGGGATTAGGGTGTTGTTTGTTACTCAGATCCATGAAAACCGATCTCTGGAATAATAAAGCATTCACTCGTAGCTAGGCAAGGTATGTCTGATTTCAGCTATTCCAACACAGTATTTCAGATAACTACACTGCATTATCACTGTTCCACAGCTGGATGACCCTAACAGCAGTTAGTATCATTCAAGATGGTGGCCAAAATTCTTTCGTTTTTGATAAACTTTCGATTTCAGCTAAACTTGGTTGAATCTGGACTCAAAGGATTCAGTCCAGGGCTCCGGACAACTGCTTGGATCATTATGAACACTCATTTGTAAACAATCAACAGATGCTTTACATGGAAACTGTATCCATATCAACAAAGACAAACTTTTGATTAATGTAAAATTCATTCATCCTTTAGTATGGATCGCCGCGGGCGTGCACCAAGGGATGCGAAAGTAAATTGGAATCCATGATGTACACAAGTGTCTATCGAGAGTTCATAGTGCCCATTAAATTGAATTGAAACCGTAATAATAGTTACCTTTCCAGTAGGTTGGGTACCCTTATGGCTAATGCTATCCACGTAGTCTTTCCCGCGAATAGTTGCTCCAGTTTGTTCTTTGTTGGCCTGCATGGTTGACGCCCTCGAATTCATATGCATTCTTGTCGATCGAGACATTCTCGTGAGTTCATAAATTGTTCTAATGATGATTATTTGCTGTTTATAAAATTATCTGAAAGTAAAGCACATGCATATGAATAGGCGAAGGAAAATGCGAGGCAAATTGATGAAGCAATGTCAAATTAAGGCCAGGGCTGCATGTTCGGAAGTTTGCTGCATTCCTCAATTGAGTTGCATGTTATTTTTCAAACAGGAATACCTCCTTCCCCACATTGTCTACATCTTCCAGTTTTGCATAAAGAGTGCACTTGTGTGCCTTGAAAATGCTGGTCATAAAATGTATAAAAAACGAGAAAATTCAGAAAAATTCCAGAAAAATGTCTCACTGAATTTTCTTGTTTTTTCTACATTTTACAAAAAAATCTTCTCATCATGCAGTCTTTCTTAAGCACATAAGTGCACTCTTTGTGCAAAACTGAAAGATGTAGATAATGCAGGAAAGGAGGGATTCATATTTGAAAAATAACATGCGACTCAATTGAGGATTACATCAAAATTCCGAACATGCACCCTGACCATACAGGCGAGACAAACTGATTTACAATTTTAAAAACGCATGAATTAATATTTTCTGTAACGTTCCGACGTATTCTTCGCGACTATGTTCACACATGCTAAAAGTCCCTTGCTTGCAGGAGCAAGCGGCCTTTTAAAAGTGTAAGATAAGCTTATAACACATTTCTGAGTCAGACTACAGTTGCCCATCGGTTATATCCTTAAGACTGCTACTGATATTTTAAAATTACCCCCACAACTACTTGCATTGTGTATTGAAATCTTGGGCTTGAAAATAAGCTGGGTTACTAGAATATAGTGATAATTTAGACTAAATCCGCTCTATTTTCAATACACAAGTAGTCGTAAGTGATTTGAAAAAATCAACCCTGCATTTATAGGGGTATTGAACATAAATCTTCCATCATGCTTAGTTTGTGACAGACAACACAGGAAGTTGTATCAAGTCGTTTTTTGGTCCTCGGGGTGTATATGTAGTTGAATTGAGTGTCCGGGCGTCCAAAGAACCCCACAGAGTACCAAAAAGGACTTGGATACAACTTTCTGTGACTTTGGAGTTTCAAAAATGTCAGAAATATATGATACATCGTGATGGAAGATAACGCCATTGCAGATTTTGAACAGATCAGACGGAAAGTAATATTAATTAATCTATTCCAATAACAACAATTAGCATATAAACTTACCTGTATTTTTAAAATATCTTCCTCGGTTTACTCTTTCTTGTTTCTGCGTTCTTCTCTTCTCAGTTTCGAAGTTTGAACTGATGGCTAGTGAACATTTTGAATCTGAGTGATCTCTTTGTGTGGTAAAATTAACTCACCGATTACAGTACCTGCACTCGTGCGTATAATTCACAACGTGATCTAATAATTGCGTTCTATTTCAGTGACGCATGTTGGAACATACCATGGTCGTTCAATAAGTTCGCAGAAAAATGATCTTTTTTGTTTTATCTACACGCTATAACAATAAACTACAAAGAATTAAATTAAAATATAAATTAATATTTATTCAAACCGATTGGTTCGGTTCATTTATACGTAAAACTATAGAAAATTTGCCATTATAGCAATATTATCAAAATCATATAAAAATATTACACAAACATTGTCGTGCAGCTCAACTGATCCTGAGAAATACGCAATATAATCGTATGATCTGTAAAATGAAGCCTTCCGATTTGTCAGTTCTTGTGCTGTACCAATCTGTATGGATACTGAGATTGTCCTCGTTGATCATCTCCGTCGCAATACAGAAAATATTGGTACGGAGTGGACAATCTTAGTAGCAATACAGAGGATCACACGATAAAAACGTTATTGAATGATTTGAAGTGCAATACAGGATATATTCTGTCTCGATATTCTGTATTGGCACTCGACTTCGTCTCGTTCCAATACGGAATTTCTCAAACAGAATATATCCTGTATTGCATTTCGAATCATTCAATAACTTATAGTATTTACAGATGTATTGAAGCAAGCGATAACGATAAAATTAATGTTACGTCCTGTATAAATTCAAACGAACCACGGTCAACATCTGAATAAATGTAATATTATTCTTTATTACAGAACAATCGAACTTGCATATTCAGTGGTACCAGCCATCCTTTGAGATTACACATTATTTCATTTAAATCAAATCGAAACTATAGTTTATAAAGTTCGCATATGTTACTTTCGATTGTTTCATTGCACAAACATATTTGTCGACATATTTATAGATGGCATGTCGGAACAAAAAATGTTTTACCTGCTTTTGTTGCATGAGAAATCGTTTAACATCATTCTTCTTTAAACATTAACTAACATTACATGCAAATACTTGCAAACACTTAATTAAAGAAACATTTCTATACTTATGATTGTAAATCGAGAAATGAATCGATAGTGCTGTCATGTAGGTCTTGGTATAGTCAATACAATATATTGACCATAGTCAATACAATATATTGACTATTGACTATATGTTAAGACATGGCATTTACTTAACACCTTCACCTATTTCGAGTTTTGTCCTTGATATAAGCACAGTTTATCATTGATCTTTAAGTTTAATTTTGAACTCGTTTTTGAAGATGCCCTATGTAGCAGACGGAATGGGAAGACATCGTGTTTAATTACAAATGAGACCACGTAATCATTGAGAGGTGCTTCGTTACAATGTCAGAGATTAAATGTTTGGTAAATAACATAGATGGTATACATGTAAGTGGACTGTTTAGCACATCCTATTATTTGGATAACACGGTAATATCATTCTAATAAAACGTAAATTCCTTTACTTTATCAAACCATTTTCAACATTACCTTAAACATGCATTTACACAAGTATTAATTAGTTTTTGAAGTATAATATACTTTTAGTAAATGAATATATCCATTGGTACACGCAGTCTTTTCAGGCCCGAAGCACATTCACAAGAATTACACTGTGGCGTTTAATTTTCCACTCGCTCTCAGCTGATCATATCGCTCAACTTCTCGAAAATATGGCACAAGATGTTCTGGAAGAAAGTCTGGAATGTTACTCTCTTCTTGTTTCTTTTCCTTTTTGGGAGGGTTCAATTCAAGCTCTATTTCTTGAAGTACGTCAAACCGCCGTAGTTTTTCCAAAGCTGTTTTTAGATTGTCAAGTGTTGCCCTGGTGTGGAGCCTTCGCCATCTATGGATCATTCTTAAAGCTCTTTTGGGTTCAGACTCTCGCGAGATTTCCTCCGATACATCTCGAATGTCTCGTTCAATGTTTTCACAGCCTCGTTCTGGGTAATACGGTAATGTTCGATAAAGCTTTGACCAATCGCTATCAATGAATTGAGACGTCACGCTGCAAGCTCGCTCGAAGGGATCTAAAACGGAAAAATAGAATCAAAATGACATTCGTCGAAACTTAGTGAGTACAATACATAATATAAGAAAGTAGGAATTCTCCAAGGCAAACATGACCCCCTCATTAAGTCAAGGCAACCAGAAGGGTCAATAGAATAGTATTTTAAACTTGTTTTCATGAAATCTTAATGCAGATCTTTAGTTACAATAGGTCGAAAATTAAGTTTTATGACTTTATAATTAATTTTTAGATTACCGAACATGGACAAGCTTCACCAAGTGAATAGGTACTGAAGAGTCCAGAATTTACACCCGTGATGTATAATAATTCACAAAATCACATTTACCTTCTTTGCTCATGTTTCCTGGAAGTCTTTCAAAATTTAAAGCAACTGGAAGGCCGTGGAATATTTTTTCAAGTGCATCTGGGCTTGATTTGTAGAGATGTATTTGACGGGCAATTGTCATATTTGACAAACAATTGCTATATTCAGTCTCAGCGTGGCCTAATAGTTCCTGTACTCTCTTCATCTCCTGCTTAACACTTCCAAAGTTCAGAACTGTATTTTCTAAGTCCTCTTTCTTACGTTCTATCCATTCAAGTTTTAGTTTCACTCCCGCTAGTTTCCGCCTGGCTTGTGGCATCTTCCCCCTGAGACTTTTGAGTTCTTCGCCTAAGACGGCATATGCTTCAATGAGAGCTTCTTGGTGCTCCTCGCCTTCAGCTGCGGTGATATTTTTTCGGAGATTGTCCCTTCTAAATCCTTTGACTTCAATGTCAACTTTGATTGTATTGTTTTCAGTCATGAGAAGTTCTTCATCACATATTAATTGATTTTCGCGATCTTTGAGATTGTCAAGGTCCTCAGACATAACCACACTCTCCATTTCCATCGTGGACAATCTGTATGCAAGCTGATATGACTTATTTTGAATCTCTAGAAATCGTTTCAGTTTCTTTTCTTTTGACGCTTCGAGCTCAATGATATCATTCTTCACAAAAGATGCGTATTGTTCATCTGCTTGAATCCATTCTAGCATCTCATTGCAAGCATTCCGTATGCTTTCACACGCTTCGGGAAACATAAACAGAAATGGGATTTTGAAAACCTCACATTTTCTCGAGATTTCCCGGACAGGGTAACAGAAATCTTCCAAGTCACAATCAAGTCCAGTCTCTTTGAATATGACTGGCAATTGGACGATGTGTTGTAACCATTGTCTGATGTTTTCACTGAGACGCTGTCGTTTACACTCATACTCATACCCCGTGTCGAACCTTGGTTCTAAATGTATGTCGTAATAACTAAGACAGTAAGTCTGGAGGTATTTCATAATTTTATGTAGATCTTCGGTGAGGTCACCAAATCTATTTGGAATATAACTTTTGATTTTATCGTAGCAGTCGGTTAATGCTTCAAGGTTGTTTTTGTCCATTATGAAATGTGTAAACGGGTCATTCGCCATCGAGATTATTTTATCCAATTGTTTTGCGCATCTTAGATTCGGCGCATGCGCGATTTCACGTGCTTCCTCCAATGGCCCTGCCCATTTCTTCACTTCGTGATAGACTGTTTTTCCTTTACCGTAAAATGAAATTTCCAGAGCGCTCAACTTTTTCAGCGCTTCTTTCACAGACTGTTTAAGAAAAGAATGGACCGTTTGCAGATTTGGTGGACATTTTTTAGACATCCGGTCAATGTCGTGTTTTCTGCTTAATACTGGCATCGTTGTTTTCTCAACGATCGCCCTGAGTGCTGTTACAATGTGCTTTGATCATTTACAGTGTCGCTTGTTAACACGTTAAGTCCTCACTTTCGTTGATCTGTGCTTCGTCTTGTACTGGATCTGAAAATCGATCAAAATTACGTATTGTCTTTTTCTTTGTTTAGAAAGTAAAAAGTAATAAGTTTGTCGGTTAACATCGGTTTCAAAGATGTGCAAAGGGTTAATGTGGGATCAACCATATTCTGGTTTACTTTAATTAACTCAAATTAGCTGATTGTTTCCGTTGTGCATTGTATTGTAACGGGAGCATTTTGCAATCAATCCAATGTTATAACACTTCGGTAATGTTATTTACATGTTAATATTGAGTCATTCAACAATGTATTGTGATTGATCTTGATGTGATGCCCGAAGGCTTGTGTTACTTTTGAGTTATTGTTTTTAGGATTTGACCTTTGTGATCAATGATCATTGCCGAGAGGTTGACTTGTCTGGTTACACAAACTGTCTTCTTTTGAATATTATGGGTACTGGGCCCTAAACGGGGAGGAATCAAAATGGCCGTCAGGAGGTGAGCTTTTCATACTCCTTTGTGGGGCAATTGATCATGAAGACACAAATAAGAAGTAAAACTATTTAGATTATCGTGGACGAAAATAAAATTGGTGCACATTGTCTTCTAAACGTTAACAATTACAAACGTTTTGATTTTTTAGAGGTATACAAAAAAAATTGTTTAATAATGTCGAAAATCTAAAAATGATCATGAAATAAAGAATATTGTTAATTACAAAATGTAATAGAGTTATTATTCCCGAACAGTCATTGAAAAATACGTTCAACAATATTTATTCATTAAACAATTAATGAAATCGGCAATCGGTGTTAAATTTCATTTTGATGGGGAACAGAATAATGCATGGAATGTAAATTTTGAAACATCTGCAAAACAGTTTCTTATATTCGTTAACGCATTTCATTGAATAATGTGAACATAAAAATCAAAGTTAAATTGTGATTTTTTCGAGAGATCTCAACTACTTTTCGTTGTTACTCTACGTTTTAAATGCAAAAGAATGTTATGGTCCATTCAAATAAGATTTTAGTTAATTATAGACTTACCTTTTCATCCACATTGCCTGTTCATAGTGACATTGTTCTTTCCCATGAAATCATTAATATATCAAATATTCCTAATATCCCTTGGCTAGCACAAGAGAAGTTTTAATTGTTCTCTTGATCCAATATGACTCCTAAATCAGACCAGGCTACATCAATTCATATCCATATTACCAAATTTAGATTTAGCTTCTGCAGTACATGAAAGTATGTGTATATGATTAGATGTATTTTATCTTCACGACCTTATGACATCTAAAATAAAACAATCTCTAGTTATACGTGTTTTTATTAAGTTTATGTCTAACATAGATTTATATGTCTGACTATATTTTCAATGACTCGCATATGTTTGTTGTGGCAACCGATTTAACACTCGTTTAAAGAAGCCTTACACGACTAAGGAACCTTAAACAAATACAAATATTTCTTTAGTCGATTCAATATTGTTTGTCGAGTCAGAGAACTGTTGTGTCGAAGTTTGCATTGGACCTTTGTACAACAATGAACTGCGTAAAATCTACATTAATTCCTTTGAAATACTAATAGTGAACAGTAGCAAACCTTGACTTGCGTCTTATTATGCGTTTTTGAGATTTGCGTTGTTGAGGTAGCACGATTTAATATAAGATCACTTACAGTATGGTCTATATTGGATCTTTTTCTCTCTGGGGAGGGGATATTTGAGGTAATTTTGTCATTGGATGTCGATGGGTCAAATTATAAAATGCGGCTAAAATAACTGGTATGTCTGCTGTGTTTTCAATACAGTATAATACATGACTGTACAGCTTTTACCTGGATCAATGTGGTCCTGTGGCTCTGATCCTGATGTCCGACCCAAAAATATCCAAAATTAATTAAAATATCCAAAATTATTCAAAAATTAATAACAAATAACTTGTGCCATCTATAATAGATTTGGATACAATTCATGTTTTCTGTAAATATTGCTTTCAGAAACATATACTGCCTACGAGAAGGTGGATTAATTGCCTTTCAAAAACTCGAAATTTGAACGTACATGTACCTCTTTCGATTTGGAACTTGTTATGCTGCAACAAATTGTACCTTTCTTTGATCGTGCAAATAGTTCGTTAAAACAGTGGGGTATATGAGGATAAGCATGAGCATCAATCCGCTTTTATAAAGAATTCGAAAACTTTAAAAATTATAAAGAATTCTCCGTGTCCTAAAACACTGGTACTGGACTCGATTGCACTGAATCCGTTTCGGTAACAAGATGGCTACGGCTCTGTTTAGAAAGTTCGCTAAGAATTTTATTTTTCATTTGATTTCTCGTGATATAGCATAAATCATCCCAATCTCTTTTTTCTGGAAAACCAAGTGATTTCGCACGAAATAGTCAGTTGGATGAAAAAATCGTCCGTATAACTGCATTTTAATCTGTTAGGTTTACGGTAAGGTATTAAATCGATGATTCTCCTGTCTTATGATCTATTTGTTCGCAAATATGAAGATTTTCTTGCGGCGATTCTACAACTCGTGAAATAAGGGAAAAAGAAAATCGGACCTTCAAGGTTCCGATTTTCCGTTTCGGTAACTAGTTTGAAGAGTGCAGTACCGGGATAACATATACAAGGTTCATTTGGTTAAACGAAGAGTTAATGCATATACGGTGATTTATTACATAAATATTTATTTCATTATTCTTATTCCCATGTTCAACCATGTGTTCATATTGAAATAAGGACATAACAATATATTAATATTGGATCCGCTCTGTTAACATTGGCTAACTGAAGCTAGCTTATAAAGTACATTTTCCCAATGAACATTTGATCATTAAACTTTATGATCATTCTGTTTCAATATTCATCCTATAATATATTATTATTAATAGGACTCTTTTGGTTCTTAATACGGTGTTAGGATAGTTCACATAGTTTGTCACCATCGCTGTTTTTATTCTTAAATTCGGAAAATATGTGTTGGTGGGAGCTTCTCTGCTTTTCATTCGGGCAATTGCTGTTGACATCCGGGCAACTTAGACCAGCATCCGGGTAACGAAGGTCAAAATCCGGGTAACCGAGAGCATCATCCGGGTGGCAATGATAGCAATCAGAGCAGGTATTGCATGCGCACATATACATGTTCCACCGGTTTTCAGTCCACATGCTGGATTGGAACAACACATGATCAGTCGATGTAGTTCGTGTATGACTGCCTGAAATCTGAAATATAACATTTAATAACCATGATGATGAATAAAATACTCCAACCATTTAAATTTAACTTCATATCTATGGAATATGGACAGTCGCATATTGTATATTGTAAAAATTGTATATTTTTGGATTAATTATGAAAATTCGGTATTTATAGTGCATGCCTTCTCTTAAATTTGTGTGTGAAATGCTACCACATGTTAAGCAACAATACTTGATGAAATTCCATCAACAGGTTTCTTTAAAGTTTATATTTTAACCCAATGCCCCCACCCTGTACAAGACATCATCGAATGGTTCCATTTTTCGTATCAGTGAAACGTACACAGCGTCGATGCTTTGAAACATCAGTTCAGTTCGTCTAAATGTCATTGCTTCCCAAGATATGCACATTCCACCTTGAATACCGATTACATATAAAGTGGCGATACCCAAGAAATCTACAAATTAATAAATTAATCATAAATTGAATTTAGTGATTTCGCTGTTTTTTATAGAAAAATGAGACAGTTTGTACCTGAACGTGCTGTTGTCCCCCAAAGAGTTGATATTCTTCCAGCCTTCTTTGGTCTTTGCAAAATACAGTTGTATGACAAAATGGCGTCTACTAGCAGAATTATTACCTCTTACACATGTTCCATAACAGTTTCTCTGGGTGTGTGGAGCGTATATTTGACATTATTTGTACGTGTTTTTGTAAGTAAAATATTGACTTAAACGCCAAATAATAGGAAACTAAATGCTGGTATTTACCAGATTCAAAAAGACGTCAACACAGTAGATTGAAATTGTATTTACATAACGCTTGGAGGAAGGTTTACCTAGCCGAATATTTTACATTGAGTAAGTAATATAGTGTCATTCAGAACGAACAGCGTTTGAAGTTTCTGCGATTTGGAAGTAATCACAAGATTAACAGAGAGTTATGATCAATGCATTTAATTTCCTGGTTGCAACAGGTTTATAATTAAACGAATGGTCTCAAAAGCATATTTGCCGATAAATAATATACAATTATTACTGATCGAGATATATAATCGTTACATAGAGCTTGGTAGAGTAGATCTTTTATTGTTGGATTATTTTCAGTGCGGCAAAGAGAGCTAACATCAAGCAAATCATTGTTCCTACAGTATTGATGAAGAAAGAGATTGCCGCCCACCCCCGAGTTTAAAAATCTATAGATCCATCCCTCATATAATGTACATTGTACAATTTCTTATTACGCTAGCGCTCCTAATCATTATAGTTTTCGCAATGAAAAACAACAACACGATGGACTACCTTGACGCACTGACGACAATGCTGAATACGTAAACTGGTTAGAATAATTCTTAACATAATGGCGCATTGCACAATTAATAAGGGCACAGGAACGCATCGAACGAACTGCTACGCAGGTGTATACTTTTTTATTTGCACTTAAATTAATGGTATTCCTTTTGAGACTTCAGAATATATTTCTCTAATCATAAGCTCCTAATAAGATCCAAATGCTGATCGTTGTTCTAATCGTTGTTCTGCAGTAGGCCTGGTGGTAGAATCAATGAACTGAAGAAGGAAGACAAAGCTTATCATTATAGCTTTCATTTTAACATCAAGGTCCACTGGGAATGAAACCCTAAATGTATTTACACCCATGATGTATTCTTTTGGAGTATCCCAAATTTCTCTGAAGATCGTACCTATTTGATGAAGTCCATTCGGGGTTGTAATTTTCGTTTCGTAATTCCACACTTGACAACAAGCGGCGGACGAACACTTTGGCGGCCCATTGATATCAAATATTATTTGGTGGTTGTTATCTTTGATGTTGAACATGTAATTGTTCCAGCTCTTGTGTTGAACGATTGAACCAATAAGTTGTCCCGGTGGCGATTCTACTGTTATCTCGAGAGGAGTACCTGGACAGCAGCAACATTGGTAAAAATACCACCCACCGCAATCTCTCAAGGTACTCTTGACATTTATCACATCTACGCCCATATTGTCTGTAATATGAATATCTAAACGTCTTTCAGAATATCTGACATCATGACGAGGGTTTTGTTTTGCTAAGTATAACTCTTGACCGGCTGTATTTCTGATATGATATGGAGCTGATCTATCTTCGTCGTAATTATTATATGTTATTTTAGGATCTTGAATCATATCTTGCTTCATGACAATCTGCTTTAATTGTGTAAGGTATTCAAGGCCCGGTGGGCATCCTGGAACACTCTCTGGTCGTGTCATCCATATAATTTGAGGTGGTGCCCTTGGTGCAATTGGCATACCTTGCTGTCCCGAAAAACCTATTCCATTGGGTAGTTGACCTGGTTGATATTGTATTGGACCAACATATTGTGCATGAGATGGTTTATATGGTTCTTGTAACGGTAAACCTGCTTGTGGACCATTTTCTTGCATAAGAGGCGGACCAGAAAGTGGACCATGTTGTTTCTGTAAAGGCGGACTTGCGTGTGGACCATTTCCTTGCATAGGAGGTAGACCGGAGGGTGGACCATGTTGTTTTTGTAATTCCGGACTTGCGTATGAAGCACTTTCTTGCATAGGAGGCGTACCGGAAGGTGGAGCTTGTGGTTTATGTAATGGCAGACTTGCGTGTGGACCATTTGCTTGCATGGGAGGCGGACCGGACGGTGGACCATGTGGTTTATGTAATGCCGGATCAGCGCGTGGAGCACTTTCTTGTATAGGAGGTGGACCGGAAAATGGACCATTGGGTCTTTGTAATGGCGAACTTGCTCGTGGATCGTTTTCTCGCGTCGGAAGTAGCCCGGGGTGCTGATAATATCCTTGTACTGGAGGCGGATCGGCATTTGGACCATTTACTACACTGGATGTATGGTCATGTAGTTCATCTGACGTCCGAGTAATTCCTTGTGTGAAAGGTTGGCCTGATGGTGGCCCATAGTTATAGGAAAAGGGAGGTCCATTGTGCTGTGTTGACATATTCTAATAACTATCGTAACATATATTTCGGAAGCTTCCCAAAGATATGTTTTTCCTTGGTCGTTTTTCCTTTCTGACTGTTGCATAGGTCAGGTTGCTAGGATAAATGTAGAAAAAAGAGTATTGTAACGTCATCCATACCTCAAGAGTATTGTGACATAGTACTAGAACTTTTGTAATCGCAGTGTCATTCAATAAGTTTTCAAGTGTAGTTCGCATTTTAGTCCAACGTCTCTCACATGTTTTGTTCACCTCCGAAACAGTAAGGTGCCGTCGTACTTAACAGGAAATGACAAAACAGGAAGTGACAAAACCATGCTGGATTTCAAACATTTATTGAACCTAGATAACAGCATTCTGGTTTGACCTCCAGTCAGTTTAACTAAGATTTTCGACATCTAGAAAGTCACTCGACTTTTGTGATTATGAGTCAAAGAAAGCATTCTTGAGTTTCAAATTGACTTCTGTGGTAGCTTGAAACCATCTTCTAATTTATTCCACTTACCTTTTATTGTTTCTCCAAATATATTCTTTGAAAATCGGATTTTAAGGGTGTTAATCAGGGCAATTCTGTGCCATTTTAATCAAAAATATTGTTGCTAGCTAGAAACGAGCAATTGTGATCTTGTTGTTACCTAGGAACGAGCAACTGTGATGTCACGTCACACTCATGTTAATTCTGGAATCACATGGCAGCCATTTTGAAAATTTCAAAAAAGTTCCCAATTAAAAAGGCTAAATGCTATTTACAAATTGGAAACTTTTGCAGAATCAACAAAGTGTTTGTGAAATAATTAGGATATGGTTTAAAAATTATGCACATGACAATATATGACTACTAAATGCAGGCAGGGACTTTTAATTGCCAAAACGTTGAGTGTCAAAAAGCATTGGTATCTACCTTAGTTCCACATATCATTTACATGACCAAGATCACAAGGGACATGGTCAAAATGACCCTAAACATGATGAAATAACGTTTTTAGCCCTCTGAAATGTGACTGAAAATAGCTAAAAGTAGGAGCTTAGGAAAGGTCACTGAGCAGAATCGTTTTAATTTTTCAGAATATGTGCCCAATAAATTGCTCTAAATGATACAATCTTTGAAATTTTAGAAAATTTCTGGAACAAAAATGGCGGTCACGAAAAAGAAAATAGATCGTTTTTCAATTCATTTTTTCAGTTTTTTCTTGTTCTATGAATGATATCAACTTTTCAAAGATTGTCTCATTTAGAGCAATATATTGGGCACATTTTGTTTGTTTCCCTCATTGACAAAAGGACAGTCATCTATACATCAACCGATCAGAATATTTTTGAGGATCCGCCATCATAATTATTGTATGTTTGCAACAAATCGTCCTGATTAAGATTAAGTGCAAAACCTCTACGATATATTTGTCATTTCTGTTCAAAGAGTTTAAGGTGATATAAATCCGGTACGTTCAGACTTGCCAACCTCCCGTTTTTTACGGGAATCTCCCGTAAATGTTTTGTTTTTCCGTAAAAATACCAAACTCTCGTACCGTTTTCTCCCGTAAAAACTCCCGTAAACTCCCGTACCGTATTTCTATTAAAATCTCCCGTAATTTTTTTTAAAAATATGGCCGTAAAATCTCCCGTATTTTTGCTGAAATCTACCGTATTCTGGTAAACCTCCAGTAAAACCTCCCATATTCTTGGTATAACTCCCGTAAAATCTCCCGTTTTCTGGTATAACTCCCGTAAAATCTCCCGTATTCTTGATATAACTCCCGTAAAATCTCCGTTTTTTGCTGTCGAAATCTACCGTATTTAAAAGGAATTTGACAAATTTGTGACCTTGATTATTGCAGGCACGCTTCTTTCTTTTACTCCAAGAAGGATTGGCTCCCATGGTTCGCTATCGATACTTACATAAATAACTTAAAAGTACTTTATTCCCATGATTCAAATTGCTTTTCTGCGATCAGTTCGGTATAAGTTAGCACACCAAATGTCCACAAACGGGGGCCAGTTCATATTCTGTCATACTTCTGTCGGGAGAATACATTTTGTTTTTATATGGCGCTAAACAAAATATTCCCGCAATATAAGGCGCATTATGGGTAGGGACTGCTGTAAGTGACATCTATCTTAGATTATAAATTCTAATTAATTTATTAACTGCGCATGCGTCATAATCATTTCAACCAATTAAATCGCTGGATTTTTTTAAGAAATCTACCGTAAAAACTCATGTTTCTTCAAAATTGACCCTAAAAACTCCCGTTTTTTCAAAATCTTCCGTAAAAACTCCCGGTTTTTCAAGATCTTCCGTAAAAACTCCCGTTTTTTCAGAAATCTAAAGTAAAAACTCCCTTTTACAAAATCTACCGTAAAAACTTCCGTTTTTTCAAAATCTAAAGTAAAAACTCCCGTTTTTCATAAATCTACCGTAAAAACTCCAGTTTTTTCAAAATCTAAAGTAAAAACTTCCGTTTTTTCAGGAAACTACAGTAAAAACTCCAGTTTTTTCAGAAATCTACTATAAAAACTCCCGTTTTTTCAGAAATCTACCGTAAAAACAATGTCTCCCAGGTCCCCGAAACGAGACTTACCACCATTTAACACATATTGCTGTGGGACTTAATGCACGTGCATAAGGTCGATGTCTCAAAACGCTGTCGTCACCAATCCCAACAATAAAATATGTGTAAGTGTAGTGTAGCATAATATTATTAGCTTAATATATCACAAAAAGTGTACCAGTATTTGAAAAAAAAAACATTGGCACGGAAAATTGGTGACACCCACTAATGCTAATCCATAGGGAAAACTTCGGGGGCTGTGGGATAGGGGATTTGTAAACGTCTGGAGAAGGATTTTTCAAGAAAATGATGTTTTGAATCACCATTGATCGATCATGGTTCACTGATAAAATTCGTTTTTTAATAAACAAATCTAACACGTATTTAAGCGAAAGAGAGCTTTATGCGCAATAAATTTGCAAATTGCAAAATAGCTCTTTTATATGCAAATGGAAGTGATTAAGTTTTAAATTCAGTGTAACACGTACCATTGTATCCTATAGGCATGTGTAACATGTGTCGCCAAGGTGGCCAATAACTTTTTGTTTATTTTTTCGTGAAGCAACTCAGTGAAATTACGATTTCTCTATAGTCCATGGTATGCAATCGCTAGGACGTCTAATAAAGGAGCTGGTATTAGAACACTATTGCGCAGCGATATTTGACCTAACATTAACATACCACCTACATATGTTCCCTAATAATTTTTATTATAACGGGTTACTTCCGGTTTTTAGGCTGAATTTTGCCTGCCATTAACAGAGGTCAAAGAATTACCAAAAAATAAAATCACAATTTGGAGTATACACAATGCAACAGAAAAGAATACAAAATGATTTTAAATATATGATTTAGATTTCTAAGCTACATGTATAAGTTTGAGGTTATTTCTTCTCAATACTCAAATTATGTAATCAGTGTATCAACGTTTTGTAATTTTTCTCGGGTATTAATAAGATAAATGCCATAAATGAATCACTTTTATATTAGAATGACAAATGCTTAAATTATGCTAGTTTTTCATAAAATGGGTCTCAATACGTTTTGAGACATAGTAACACTAAGAACATTTTGCTCTAGAGCGGATGCTGTTGTTTTTTGTGCTCAATTTAGCAAAGGCAGAAAAAACGATTTCCATGTTTTTCCAAAATAAATACTAAACACCAGGTAAATGTTAATAAAATGTGTTAAAGAGTCATGATAAAATATGTTTTTGGTATACATTAGACTGCCCAGAGGCTACCATTAACAATGCCATTCTGTTGAGGTATTAGTAAATAATGAACGATTCGGGAGAAATAAATAAAGTGTCTTACATAGAATCATAGAATTTCACATATTCTTTGCACTTTTAATGGAAGCTTACGTTAGTAAGCATCATTTATGGGAAAACACGTGTGTCCTAACTAAACTCCTCCCCTATCTATCAATCAGTCACGCATCTTGATCGTAAATTTCAGGGTAGTCTATCCTATTCAGTGTTGTATCAAGCGATTGATCAACACGTATTCAGCTCAGTGCGCTAGCTATTACATTGCAATTTTATCTCAAAGAATAAAAATGCCTCCAAAACGTAATGGAAGACGGTCCAAACCCTACGATAAGGGAGAGCATCAGTCTGAGGAACAGACTGCTAACGAAATGAGGGAGAAGCTTAAAGATTACGGAATACAAGTATAGAGTAAAATTTCTAAAACGGCTCTCAAACTGTTGTACAATGACAATGTGAATGATAAACAAAACAATCCCGAGGAGATCAAGGTTACGTTTAATCCAGAAGCCCGTGCTGATAACACAAGGGAAGAATCTCTAAAGAACTGAATGAAACTGTACGTGTACGTGGTCTTTCCGAGGTAGTAAACTCGTTAAAAGAAGGAATACGTCCAGGTACATCAAACCAGCAACAAACGCCCCAGCCAGGACCCAGTCAGACAAACAGTACGCCAGATATGATATCCAAAATTTCGAGCTGGGAGCTACAGGGATTGCGCCAGTTGTACACGTGATCACAGAGCATACCTCAAAACCAAGGGGCTACTGTTTAGGGCTATAATAATACTAACCATATAATAATACTAACCATGACACCAAGTCACCACGTGAGATACGATGACAGGCCATCCAACAATTTTAACTCAGGTAATGTCATTCTAGCATGTTGACAATCTTTACGGTACTATCGTGAACATGGTCTAAATACGCCATACTCAATGTTATATTTACTATAATTACGTTCTAAAGTGTAGACATTCACGGATTTTCAGAATTTGCATTTGATCCCCGTATAAGATGAGTCTATGTGAATAGTACATGCATCTATTATAATAATTGTAAAGAACCTGATCAAGATTCGATAATTATAACTAAGTACATACACACAGCCATCAACTCATAAAGGAGTCTCAGTTACAAGTGCATTCATTTGAATACCTTTTTACATTCGTTCGACTTCACTTCTTAAAAGAGAGCTTCGTAGTTTATAACTAGACTCTGCGCTCAGGGTACTATTTGGAGCAACTTTCCAAAGCACCCAATAAACGATGCTATTTTGATTACATTAAAGGGACAACAAGGTCTGTAGAGAGAAACTTTTCTTTACTTTTGGATAGCTAGCGCACTGAGCTGAATACGTGTTGATCAATCGCTTGATACAACACTGAATACGATAGACTACCCTGAAATTTACGATCAAGATGCGTGACTGATTGATAGATAGGGGAGGAGTTTAGTTAGGACACACGTGTTTTCCCATAAATGATGCTTACTAACGTAAGCTTCCATTTATGAAACATAAAAATAACAATATAATACAATATCTTTGGACTTGAGGCTATTCATGAATCGAGGCACTAACATCATGTCACTGAAAAACATTGAAATGTGAATGAATATTTCTATTATTCCGAAAAAGGATCAGCTCTGATACCCCGCCACGCCCTTGCTGTTTGGGCAGTGGTTTGCAGGTATAGGTGATCGGTGGTACCCTCACTGATGCAAGCAGTGTGTCCCGGGAGCTTGAGCCCGTTTGGGAGCGATTCAGGCACTAACACTCTTTGGCAATCGTTTTTATAAGCCCAAGTTACACTTGTAACCCACAACAACTTCTACTGAGCGGTATATTCCCCTTCGGACCAAGGAAATTGCCGTTTCCTTCAGTACTAGTTGTACTAGGTTATCATTCTCTTGACTTGTTCCCTTCCGGGCCAGGGGAATATCATGACGCAATGAAAATCTAGCCCTCTTCTAAACACCCGTTCATTGGTCAGTGTCGCTTCCAATCGGGCTCAAGCTCCCGGGACACACTGCTTGCATCAGTGAGGGTACCACCGATCACCTATAAGTCCAAAGATATTGTATTATATTGTTATTTTTAGGTTTTGGTTTATGTTGTACCATGTATTAATATAAGAAATTATTATGCAGAATTATACAACGTATGTATACTCATATATGGAAGTGTTTGTTTCATAAATAGCTGTTTTGGGGGACAAAGGCCTGCATGGTTTGATCTAAGGAAAAATAATAGAAACATAAATCATTTGATTTGATTTGATTGCAAAAGATGGTCACTGAAAATGTGTTCGGATGTTCAACAGAAAAGTTTGTCATTGCGCCTCTGAAAGGGTGTTAAGATATCTGGTCCAGTAAAATGAACTATACTCGTTTGCAAAGATTGACAAAGGATGTGTCATTATACAGGGGGGGGGGGGGCAAAAATGAAACCTTGCAGCAAGCTATAAATCAGATATTACCCGCATTTGGGCTAATATTCTCACGTGGTACAATGCGAATATTGGAGTTATTCGCTGCTCGAAAAACTTATGAGACAATTTCATTTTTTCCTGAAAATAAAGACAATCTGGACAGAGTAGTGAACAACATTTGTGTTTCCACTAGTTATCCAGAACCATGAGGCATGTATTGAGCACAGCATCAATTAATCAGGCATGTCTGTTGTCTGTTGATGCCATGTAACTTCAGATCTGCATTTCATTGCTATGCCATTCTGTTAAACCAATGTATTCCTTCAGTCCTTCATAGATCAAAATGTTGTCATGCAGAGTGGTAATGCTTTGCAAGAACCATTGTGAACTAGTACAGACCGTATTGACACTTAGCTGATAATTATAAGATTTATATAAGTTATATTTTATATTTGTACATACACTAAAAGTAATGTAGCTGCATAATGGCGCTAGGCCATTTTGGTTAAACCTTTAATATTTCGGGAACAATTTGGGATGTTGATGTCAGTAATAACTATGGCCCCTTATAGATTAAACTGCTTTTTTATGACTGCAAGCATTTGGCTGATAGAGAAAAAGCCCCAATAACGTCACTGTGGCAATGAAGTCATCATTTACCTCTGTACGTTTAGAAACTCACTGAGAGTTGAACCACCGAATGGACAAAATGCATCCCCATTTGAATAAAGAGGGCATTAATGTCACCCTAAACTTCAATAATTCGAGTCTACTGACTGACTGATAAGGGCCGATGTTTGATTGGTCGACAAACTTAAATTTGCTTTATAAGAAGTAACCTCCACGTTGAACCAATAAGTAGAAATTTGAAATGGTAAGAATGTGTAGTATATGTATATATTCGGCTTAGATATTGTTGAAAATGTATTTCAAAACAACATGTATTTTATTTAATTTCTCCTACAACTTCACATGACTCATTTGTCGCTAAATTTCTGACAGTTCAAGGTTTCTATATTCGCATTTGTTCAACATTTATTTATCTAACGTATTTCCATTTTCTAGATTTCGTTAGTACTGTTGTTGGCTGTCGGGGCATTAGCAGGTTAGTCTTTACGGTGCTAAAGTAATAAAAGAAACGCCCTACACTGAAAATAATTAATTTAGTTAAGGGAGCACCTTTTCGAGTGATTTGATCTGATTTGATGAAACTTCTATGAAATTAAGTGTTGTTGTTCACCAATGCTCTATTTTACCTGGCTCTCTTTTTATAACAACACCGAGTTCAAGGAAAGGTCAAAGTTATTGAAAATCCCATCAAATATGTACATGTCATGATTAAGCTAGAAAATTCGCTCAATACCTTTAGGGCCCAGTTGCCGCTACACCGAATGGGATACATGGAGTGAATGTACACCAAACGAAAGATGTATGCCAAAAGACAGACAAACACACGCACGATTCTCGTTCAAACCAGACCCATTTAAGCGGTATAGAGACGCTGGTAGAATCATGGGAGAGAGAATGATGGCCTACAAAGAACAGCTTTGGTCCGCACCAAACACAGAAAACACGATGGAAAGTATCGTAGGAGCTGCCGTTCCTTGCTCAGGCGGTAAGGTTTCTTATGAGTAGCCCCGTTCAGATTTTATTATACCATCCTATGAAGTATGCAAGTATTGATATCGGCTTATGGGAGGATATTGATATTGATAGAGTCCATTTCACTGTTTAACTGAGTCAGTAAAAGCAAAAAAATAAGAAATCAAAATATCATTTTGCAATAATATATGGAAAAATATATTCCTATTGTACATGAATGATATTTGTATATCTTGGATTGCTTTTAGTTTGGCTTATAAAGTGTGTGGTCTCTTATATTTGGATGCTTCTCTGCCATGTTATTTTCAATAAGATTAACATGGCTGAAATTCTTCAAATTACAAGACGGCACAGGCTTATTGCACAAAAAACTAAAAAATCTACAAATGTCATTCATGTACATTATGAATATACTTTTCCATATATTATTGCACAATGGTCTCCCAATTTCTTATTTTTGCCGTTCTACTGACGCAATGAAGCAGTGAAATGGACTCTAGTGTTCATAATAAATTACTAAAATGTAAACTGATGACGACCTAGATGGTCATCCGCATTGCTTTCCAAATGTTTACAATCTAAAAAATAGTTTAATAAGTAATAAATATGTGAATGGTTATTCATTGTAGGTTCAGCCAGTGGATTCAGATGTCAGAACGTTGACCTCCAATCTTACTTGAGTCTATCAGCTTTGGGTGCAACGTATGTATAACACTATACCCTTCGCAAGTGTGATTGATTGGCTTCCTTGACTCTACCAATGCATCACTAATCTTACCAACCAGTCAGAGACTTTCATCACTTTCATGCGTGTTGTTAACTATGGCATAGTCGTCATATGAATATCAAATAATTTACAGTATGGATTGAATTATAACATTACACCTGTGCTATTTTAGACAGCTAACCAATATGCGTTAAAAACTGTGTTGCAATGTCTTTTCTATGTCACTACCAAGAGTGGCGACATTGTTACAGCCTCCAAATTTTTTGTGCACGTCTGTAACAAATGGCAGGTAGTGACATTTGGCACTGGTTTGTTACTTGGTGAGAGTCAGAAATTCTGGCTTCAGGCTTGCATTGTATGGACACGGGGTGTGCATGAAATCAGTGAAAAGAAAATTAAATTTCAGTGCAAGTGGCGCCAGGGGTAACGATATTTGGGGATGGACTGACCCAGTTACGAATGACGAGATCGTTGTTATGGGAACCAACCAAGGGACGTCGTTTGTGAGAATCACAGATCCCGTTAACCCCCAAGTTGTCGCCTGGCTACCAACTCACACTTCGTCTAGCAGCTGGAGAGACATGAAGGTCGTTAATGACCATGCCTTCATTGGTTCAGAGGCCGCTGGCCATGGATTGCAGGTAAAACTTTCACTAAAATGATTTTTGTTGGAATCTTAAATGTCCTTGGTTGATCAAAAACTATCAATTATAAACGAAATTTGTCCTTTCCTTTTGGCAAGTCAGGGTACACATTATCATATGGTGGTTATATAAGTTATTTATAATTTGATGTATCTTGTTACTTGCTATATGACAGGTGTTTGATCTTACAAGACTTCGTGGCCAGACAAACATGGGCACTGTCAGCGCTGATGCTCATTATGGCCAGTTTGGCAATTCCCATAACATCGTATCAAACCCAGAGAGCAACACCATCTTTGTCGTGGGAGCAACTAATGACAACCGCGGTTGCCGCGGTAAGCATTTTGATATTCCACAATACATGATAAAAAGATGGCTCCATGCTATGACATACAAGCAATGAGTTGACAAAATCTTTTTATCCCGTATGGCTTCGGCATCGATGGCCGGTGCTTCCAATGTCACACTGGTAGACTAGTTCATACTGGATATTATTCTTTACTTAGTAGTGTTATAGGTAAATAACATGCAGGAATATAATTGATATCTGAAGTGAGCGGGTGGTATATATATCACCCGCTCATCAGATCTACGACGTCAGAAATTCAGAGAGTAGATACTGAACCAGGGGACTTGACTATGCGTAAACCCTCATACGTATGAATAGTATAAGTAGTATAAGTAAAGAATGAATCAGTTATTAATGCTTGATTTTGATACAGGGTATATCACTAGGTAAATACAATTTATTCTGATTCTAACAGTTTGCCGTCAGGGAGCCTAATTAGTACAATTAAATGATAATTTAATTAGCCTTAAGAAAGGGATATGTTTCATAACTTACATAGAAACATCCCTTAATTAGCTTAATTAGGCTAATTATCTATTGATTCTTATTAAATTAAGGTGGGACATATGCCCTAAAGATGTTTTATTGTTTGGCTTACCTTATTATGTTCAATTGTTATCTACTTTATTTACCCTATATTTCTTGGTTCAAGGGTGGGTTGTGGGTTGTTTTCAGTAGTCATACTTCTTTGAAGTTCAGTGGAATAATGAATTTCCAGTTACCTCGTGACCTTGACATCAGTCATGTGATCTTTGTCCAGGGGATTGATCATTCTTACTTCATTTATTCTATACTTTCATTATGTACTACTCCCCTCAACAAACTGTTTATAGTTTCATAAATCCAATTATTGAATAATTATTATATATATTGTATTTCCCTCAGATATACCCTGTATCAAAAACCTCCCATTAAATAACCTATATTCAATGAGCCAGACAAATAAAGAAGTTAAAGGTATGGAACACATGGATAGAGACACATTTGCACTCATACTTTCATTCCGACCTAGTTTACCCCTGTATTTAACATGGACTTTATTATGATACGACGTCATGATCACATTATCTGTAGAAAAGTTGACTTACTAGTCTATGACCTTATGTCACTCTTGCTTGCTTATTTTAAGCTGGTCTCCACATGGTTGACGTAAGCAACCCAAAAAATCCGACGTTCGCTGGTTGTTTCTCTGCAGATGGCTACACCCATGACGCTCAATGTCACTTCTATAACGGACCTGATACCACCTATAGGGGTAAGAACAGTTTGGTAAATAACGTTAAGGTGAAGCAAGTCTTCTTTGTTCAAAACTTGGAGAATTTTAAAGTAAATTTGCTCATCTTGCTCGTTCAAGAAATCTTATTCTAACTGTACTTCTATTTTTGGGGTGTTCCCCTTTCAGCTTCTTATAGATATAAATATGTCTATATAATCTCCACTAGATTTGATGATTCTAACTCTTGGCAGTGATAATGTCATATTATTTCACACAAATGTTATAATAGTTACCGGGAGTTAAAGTACTGAACACAATCATAATTGACCAAACGTAAGTAATTACTGATAGTATCATCATCAATTTGTGTTGGTATCATCCTAAACGATGCCGTAGAACAATACGAATGAATACACAAGGAGCTCGCGCGTATCAAACTCAAGACCTCATGATTTAGACGAATAAAAATATTCTTATAATAATATACTAATTTAATTTGAGCATTTATAACATTAATTTGAACCATTTTGTACAAAGGCCGTGAAATTTGCTATAACTACAATGAAGATGCCCTTACTATCGTTGATGTCACGAACAAAGCAAGTCCCGTTGAGATATCATCGACCTCATACGTCGGCTATGCTTACACTCATCAGGTACGTCCCGCATGTTGGTCACTCTAAGATACGCATGTGTACCTAACCCTACTATCACACCAAACTAGTTCTCACTACGTTCTTGAAAATGGGTTTAAACTGTGCACGAATGGATTTGACGTACTAAGAACCCACTAAGAACCATTTGGGATCTGTTTACAAACTTCATGAAACTACTAGAACGAGTAGGTCCTCCAGCACTTAGAGCATGCTCAAAATTTTCTGGTGATCGTCAAAACGTTGCCGAATCGGTTTTAAACTGTGTGCGAACTGAATGAACGTAGCTACAACGTTCTACGGTCTGTTTACGAACTTCATGGACTTTCCCGGACGGGGTATGTGATTTAGAATTTTGAATCGATTCAAAATTGGATGGCGACCATACCGTTCTGTAATCAGGTCACGATGACCTTCTAGACTAAGGGACGGTTTATACTACGTTGCACACCGACGTGGTGCGACCTGAACGAACTGCGAATGAGATGGACGTATTGAAGACTGTTTATGAACGAAGTAGCTAATTATTTTAGACATATATCTCGACCGCAGCCAGATTGAGCCCGTTTTACGACATTTTCGTAGGACTGGCAAGACTGGTAAGGGCGTCATTAGGGTGGTCCAAAATATGGCGAAAAACCAACTTTCTTTCGGATCATCTTCCTCATTTGACTTACTGTTGTCCATGACCTAAAACACCTGCACACCAAATTTTGAGACCCAAATCCCATGGGAAATTTACCCACGCTTCGACTGAAAAATTCGGTTATTTCATGATTTTTTGCTATTTTCGATAAATTGCCATCTCCTTTTTCCTGGTATAAAATGTTTCTATTTTTTCATAATAAACATTTTTGTAGGACTCTTTATTACCTTATAATACTAGGAGCCCAAACACCAAATTTTGAGACCCAAATCCCATGTGAAATTTACCCATGCTTTGACTGAAAAATTGTGATTTTCACAGTTTTGTCCGATTTTCAATAGATTACTGTCTCCATTTTCCTGGTATAATATGTTTCTATTTTTTCATAATAAATATTTTTGGATGACTCTTTATTACTTCATAATACTAGGAACCCATACACCAAATTTTGAGACCCAAATCCCATGGGAAATTTACCCATGGTTTGACTGAAAAATTGTGATTTTCACATTTTTTCCGATTTTCAATAAATTGCTGTCTCCATTTTCCTGGTACGATATGTTTTTATAATAAACATTTTTGAGGACTCTTTATTACTTCATAATACTAAAATCTCATACACCAAATATCCACCAAATTTTCAGACCCAAATCCAATGAGAACGTTACCCATGCTTTGACTGAAAACTGGTGCTTATGATAGCTTATGATGTCTGTTTTAGGGGCATAATATGTTAATAAACATTATGGTAATTCCTTCTTAATCCAAAGAAACACCTAAATATCAAGACTTTAAGTCTTATTGAAAGGCGACAAATTCAGTAGTTTGGGGAAAATTTAGGATCTTTTACTTGTACATTTATATACTGTGGTTAATATTAAGAAGTGATGACTCGACAGCAACTCAAATGCCTTGAAGATTTGGTTTGTTGGTTTCAGTAGGGATACATCACAGGACTTTGTTTGGATTTGTGTGAGATGTCATATTCTTTCTCACATCTTTGCAGGGTAAGGTCAAATATCAAATCTGTTTTTCTTTGGAGAAATGATTTTTTGATTGATCAATGTATCAATGGCATGGTCTCTGTTGTAACCAGTAAGCCTGTACCAAATCTTCAAGGGATTCAAGCTTCCACTGAGCTTTGTCATTTCTCTGAAAATGTTCATGCCCTGAAAGTACACAATGTAGAAGATAGGAAGAGCAATGAGAAACACTTAAGGTAATTCTGTATGTTCAGAAATTTTAAGTGGAGTCCAATGTTATTTCTGGAACTCATTCCATACTTGGTCAGCTCTTTCAATTTTACACTGAGTTCAAATATGTATTTAGATTATTAGTTGATGGTTAGTTATTTTCTATAATGTACTATGTGCTATGTTTTTACACTGTTTGTGCATCTGAATGGAATGAGTTATGTGTTCCTGAAAAAACACGGGGCTCCAATTAAGAAGCCATTAAAACGGAAAATAAGGAATTACCTTAAAGTACTATATAACCATCTTTCACGATGTAACGTATGTAAGGTCAAACAGGATAATTAAGACAGCGTGTAATACAATTTATTACAAATTGCACATCACACAACAATGATATGGTGCTCTAAACGACAAAAATCAAAAGTATATGATCAAAGCAAACGTGAATTTCCCATGGGGTTCAGGTCTAAATGTATGGGTTCCTAGTATTAAGAATGTATTAATGTCCTCCTAAAATGTTTAAAAACTAAATATAAGATTAATGTTGATCTATTGAAAATAGGAGAAAATTCGCAGAAAATCACAAATTTTTGGTTGAAGCATGAATTAATTTCTCATGGGGCCAGGGTCTCAAAATTTGGTGCATATTTGGGGTATGGGTTCCTCGTATTATGAAGTAATAAAGAGTCCTCCCAAAATATTTATTATAAAAAATAGAAACATATAATACCAGGAAATAGAGATGTATTGTATTGTATATTTTTATTATTATGAGCTTTATTAGACTCCAGATGTAAATCTGGAGTCTACACTGTTGCTCATAAATATGGAATATTAGATTTGTCAGATAAGAATTCAAGTTTTGGATGAAAACAACTTTTATTTGGAGTCGTTTAAGCAAATAATTTTCTAGGCAAATCATAAACACATATTTAATCTACAAATCAACATTTTTTAGGGAAAAAATATCTACATTTAAGTTTAGAAATTTGCTGGCGTTTAAAATGGGGTAGTCTAAAAAATTTTGCATTTTTAAAACACCCCGATCCAAATTTTAATGTAAAGTGGATCAAACAAACTAAACACCAGGTCATGAAGATGAATTACTCCTCTAGCCCATAACACCACTAATATGCAGTATTTCTTCCTGGTGCTGCAATCAGAGTATCCATCTCGCGGGGCCCGCTGTCAATGATATGTCTGACCTGTCTACGCGAAATAAGGTCCCACTACTCAATCAGAGGAGTATTTAACTCTGCTAAATTTTGAGATAGGGGATCCATGTGACAAATTTCGCTGTCAGTTTCATCCCACATGTGCTCTGCGAGAGCCTGATCAGGTGACTTTGGTGCCTATGGTAGCTGCTCCACATTGCCTGCCCTGGGGAAATCCTGCATAATGAAGCTATCATACGCATCAGCTTCATCATGCTGCATTTTAAAGTTACACCCAAACACTCTATTTGCATGTGGTACTAGATGTAGATCCAAAAGGTCACCGTACCTCTCACCGCTGACATTACAGTTGAGACTCACCAAGGGGGTGCGACTCTCCTTGGTGAACACCACCTCAAATATGAACAGAGCCACCTCCACGAGTACTTTTAATAACAATCAGTTTTATGTGCAAATATGAGGAGAAAATCGGGAGGCAATAAACATTCTTTAACTTATTTTTACCATTTGTAAGAATTATACCAAACAATTAATAATTGTAAAATATTCCATATTTATGAGCAACAGTGTATTGTTTTCGTCAGTATTCTTATTAGACTCCAGATGTCAATCTGGAGTCTATTGTTTTTGCCAGTATTCTTCTTCTTCTTCTTCTTCTTCTTATTAGACTCCAGATTGAAAATCTGGAGTCTATTGTTTTTGCCAGTATTCTTCTTATTAGACTCCAGATGAAATCTGGAGTCTATTGTTTTTGCCATTATTGTTTATTCTTATTATTCTTATACTGATCACGTTTTCTCAACAACTATAAGGTATCTTTTCAAGACAATTATATGGTCAATTAAGGTTCAGTATCTAGTTGGTGGGAAATGGGGTCAAATTTTTATCTAGGTCAAAGGTCAAGAACTAGGTCAAATCTTACATTTTCAACCTTCTGTCTATTATCTTCGTCGTTATTTATCGAAACGTCTTCATCTTTTTTTCATCATGTAGCTTAGAAACAGCCCTTTCATAATGTGCCATCCGTTTTTTGATTGCTCTTACCGATTTTGAAATATGGCGTCCAAAAAGTAGGTCGGAACAAAAGTTCTCCAAATTCAACATGTGAGTTATGAAATAAGTGTAGAATGATCTCAGGAATCCGAATCTGCAAACTAAATTTGAATCAGACTTTCGGTTCGAAAGTTATGGCGTTTTGAAAGCTCAAAAATCGCTAAATTTGGTGCCCATGTTAAGTCAATGGGAAAAAAGATTTTTTTGAAGTGAAAAATACGTAATATGGACTGAGTTCAGCTAAATATAATGAAAGCTTTTAAAAGAATGGGACTTCAAAAGCCATCTAGCTTCAAAATTTGGACACCAAAATGCCTAGGTCAAAATCTAGGTCAAATTCAAAGTTTTTCCTTATTTTTGCGATTCTGACACTACACTTTAATTATATTCTTCGAAATTGTGTATACATGTAACCAAGACTGTGCTAATAGTGTTAGCCTTTTGCCGTCGGAAAGTATTTTGACCCACTTTTGAGATATGGTGTCCGAAAAGTAGGTCAAAATAAAAAGTTCTCCAAATTTAACGTTTGAGTTATGAATTAAGTATAGAATTTTCTCAGAAATCCGAATCTGCAAACTAAATTTCGATCCGACTCCCGGTTCCGAATTTATGGCGTGTTCAAAAAGTAGGTCAAAATAAAAATTCGCCAAATTTAACGTATGAGTTATGAATTAGTGGTAGAATTTTGTCAGGAATCCGAATCTTCAAACCAAATTTCGATCCGACTTCGGGTTTGGAAGTTATGGCGTTTTGAAATTTCGGAAAAATCGATCTGATGGTATCCTGATAGAAAGTCAAGAGTAGAGAAGAAACTATTGAAAAATTCATCCATCCTTCCTATCTGATCCTATCCTATCCTTCCTATCTATCCTTCCTTCGTATCTTTTCCTTCCTATCCTATCCTATCATATCCTTTCTACCTATTCTATTCTA